GTAAATACAACTTAACCACTAATTTCTAGTCGTGTCCTCTTTTGGAAGACCAAACAAAGCAGTTTAGCTTTCGCAAACAAAACACAGTGTCTTCACAACATGGCGGTGGCAGCTACAATAAAGTTATGCCTTCTTTCTTTGCGTGAACATTTGGGCGGTGTTATGCAAATCTTCCCACACAGTGACATAGACATGTGGGGGCATGTTTAAATGAGGCATTTTAGGAGGGCGTGGACGAGTCTTAACTTTTATAAAGAATATCTCTTTAGGTTTGAGACTTTAGTATTTGCAACTTCAGGGATCTTATCTATTCACGAACAGCTTGTAACACTCCAAAGAGAAAGGAAAACTTGAAATCGCATCACATGACCCCTTTAAAATTGTTCAGGACAAAAGACAAAGTTAAATAATATCATCCACATTTTGCATACAGCTAAAATAATTCTGTAGTTTTGAATTAAAAAAAAAATATGAAAAAAAAAACACTACCGTTGAAAGGTTTGGGGTCAGTAAGATTTTATTATTTTTTTTACTGTATTTTGATCAAATAAATGCAGCATTGGTGAGCATAAGAAACGTCTTTAAAAACAACAACAACATTTAACAAACATTTAACATTTAATCGACTACAAAAACATCAAATTTGAACAAACTGCACAATTTACAATCATCATATTGATTTTCTAATTAAAGATAGTCACCTGCACCAGGTGGCAGATAGAAGACAAATATGGCCAGCACACTGGTGAGGATGCAGGGCACGATGATGTTAATGATGTAGAACAGAGGCTTCCTCTCAATGATCAGATAAAAGGTGATGTCCTCATACAAGTCATCGTGGATGTTCTTTCTGCTGGGCTTATGACAAATCTGCCACTCACCGTTCTCTTAGGGAAGAGAGAGGACTGATGAGAGAAAAAGAGATAGAAGGAAGAAGAGAGTGTGCCATGTGCCAAGTTGCTATTGCTTGGTGACCATAAACAGACTACAGGTAGATTAACTATATTACTTTGCTGAACAATCATTTTGTACAATTATTATTTTCATTAAAAACATGTAAATATTCACTAACATTGTTGCATTATACCACAGTTCCTGACCTCGGACAGGATCTTGTCACTTTTAGGAAGAAGTACACTAACCAGTAAATGCGTTCTCATCAATCACTATCTCATGGAGCTCGTTGCCATCTTCATCTAGACCGTACTGAAGGTCCACTTCTGAGGAATCATATGTGTAGGAACGAAACACCATTGTGCAGTTCTGCCAGTCAAATGGAAAGTACGCCACCTATAGGGATGGAGAACACAGATTTGAACACAATACAGTACTATACAATAATAGTTATACAATAATAATAATAATATGCTTTTAAATCAGCAATATGCCAAAAGTGATTTGTGGTTCAAGGTAAACACAAGTTAAACGCCAACAATAGTTTCTGTGATTCTGACAAATAATTTATAAAATAACATACATGCATTCAATGCATTTACAATAGAAGTCTATTTCAACTGATCCCAGAACACTGCTTTAATATGTTAGCATAATAACAAGTTTACATGTACCTCTATGGAACAGGAGCTGCGGTAGATGGCTGGTGGATACCAGGAGACAGTTCCATCACTCCTCACTAGCACATTCACATAGAGGGCAACGTCAAACTGACCATCATTACTATTAAACAGAGAGAGAGAACATCTCAGTCAAGTCCTAAATTCAGTGTCTCATGCAGGTTTTATTTCCTAACAGCTATTTTTACAGTGAAAAGTGATCAAAAGTTTTTCAATTTAAGTATGATACTGTGGCAGGTACCCTGTTGCTGCAAAGCAGTGCTGATCATGCACTTCTTAAAACAAAATCTTTCAAATGTTTGTCATTGTGGCATTGTAGGAGGATGTTCTCACTTGTTGATTAGGTAGATGTCTGGACGCCACACTTTTAAGGGAGGAATTCGCACAATGTCAATACTGTCATAGTCTTCAGGATTCCAAGATAGCCTGTAATCTGTCCATTCCTTGAAATGAGAGAGACAGAGAGAAAGAGTGGAGGGGGAATGGAATTTCCATCAAATTCTACAGTTTTTTTTGTTGTTTTTTTCACATTTCTTCTGTTTATTAAGCCATTTTCCTCATATGAACCTTTGGCTGATCTTCATAATTTGACAGAAAAACCTATGTATGTGTACACATACACACACATATAAATATATATATATATATACAGTGGGGAAAAAAAGTATTTAGTCAGCCACCAATTGTGCAAGTTCTCCCACTTAAAAAGATGAGAGAATGAGAGAATTTTCATCATAGGTATACCTCAACTATGAGAGACAAAATGAGAAAAAAAATCCAGAAAATCACATTGTAGGATTTTTAAAGAATTTATTTGCAAATTATGGTGGAAAATAAGTATTTGGTCAATAACAAAATTTCATCTCAATACTTTGTTATATACCCTTTGTTGGCAATGACAGAGGTCAAACGTTTTCTGTAAGTCTTCACAAGGTTTTCACACACTGTTGCTGGTAATTTGGACCATTCCTCCATGCAGATCTCCTCTAGAGCAGTAATGTTGTGGGGCTGTCTGGGATCATTGTCATGCTGAAAGACCCAGCCACGTTTCATCTTCAGTGCCCTTGCTGATGGAAGGAGGTTTTCACTCAATCTCACGATACATGGCCCCATTCATTCTTTTGTTTACACGGATCAGTCGTCCTGGTCCCTTTGCAGAAAAACAGCCCCAAAGCATGATGTTTCCACCCCCATGCTTCACAGTAGGTATGGTGTTCTTTGGATGCAACTCAGCATCCTTTCTTCTCCAAACATGACAAGTTGAGTTTTTACCAAAAAGTTCTATTTTGGTTTCATCTGACCATATGACATTCTCCCAATCCTCTTCTGGATCATCCAAATGCTCTCTAGCAAACTTCAGATGGGCCTGGACATGTACTGGCTTAAGCAGGGGGACACGTCTGTCACTGCAGGATTTGAGTCCCTGGCGGCGCAGTGTGTTACTGATGGTAGCCTTTGTTACTTTGGTCCCAGCTCTCTGCAGGTCATTCACTAGGTCCCCCCGTGTGGTTCTGGGATTTTTGCTCACAGTTCTTGTGATCATTTTGACCCCACGGGGTGAGATCTTGCGTGGAGCCCCATATCGAGGGAGATTATCAGTGGTCTTGTATGCCTTCGTTTTTCTAATAATTGCTCCCACAGTTGATTTCTTCACACCAAGCTGTTTACCTATTGCAGATTCAGTCTTCCCATCCTGGTGCAGGTCTACAATTTTGTTTGTGGTGTCCTTTGACAGCTCTTTGGTCTTTGCCATGGTGGAGTTTTTGGAGTGTGACTGTTTGAGGTTGTGGACAGGTGTCTTTTATACTGATAACGAGTTCAAACAGATGCCATTAATACAGGTAACGAGTGGAGGACAGAGGAGCCTCTTAAAGAAGTTGTTACAGGTCTGTGAGAGCCAGAAATCTTGCTTGTTTGTAGGTGACCAAATACTTATTTTACCAAGGAATTTACCAATTAATTCTTTAAAAATCCTACAATGTGATTTTCTGGATTTTTTTCCCCATTTAGTCTCTCATAGTTGAGGTATACCTATGATGAAAATTACAGGCCTCTCTCATCTTTTTAAGTGGGAGAACTTGCACAATTGGTGGCTGACTAAATACTTTTTTGCCCCACTGTACACACACACACACACTCGTTCAAAAGTATGGTGTCAGTAAGATTTATTAATGTTTTTGAAAGAAGTATTACAATAGTACAATTTCAAATAACTGTTTTCTATTTTCATATATTTTTAATTTAATTTATTCCTGTCGTGGCAAAGCTGAACTTTCAGCAATTACTACAGACTTCAGCCTCTCATGATCCTTCCGAAATTATTCTACTATGCTGATTTAATGCTCAAGACACGTCTTCAAAACATTATTTAAAGGTGCCATAGAATGCATTGATACAATATTTAAAATTGTTCTCTGATATCTACATAGAAGGTATGTGGCTTAGGTAAGGGCAAAACATCTCCAGAAACGGTTTTACATGTCCATTTACAACCCTAGGATTTGTCCCTAGAATGAAATGGTCTGTTTTTACCTTATTTGGAAGGGTCATTAATAATAATGTTGAGCTCTGCTCTGATTGGCTGTTTCACAGTGCGGCTCATTTCAGTAGCTCACACAGCAGGAAGGAAACACGGGGAAAATATATATTTCAATGCTTACTTTCACTTTCGAGATTTGTGATCGCACGTGCTCTGTGTAAACTACAGCGGCAGTACTTACCACACATTTTACAAGATCAGATGCTTGTCAGTGGTGCTCAGG